AAATTATTTTACCATAGTAAGCAAATCCAATTAATACAAAACACTCTATTATGTGTATCATAATTGCAAATAAGGCTAAACTTCCAATTCCTCTATGTTGCTTAATATTACTCTGTAGTAAATATTGACAGATTTGGGTTATCCTTATTTCTAACTTTTATTGGGAAAATTAACAAAGCTTTGATAACAATGAACTCATTTTGAGGATAAAAGTAGAATTTTATAGTATTTTGACATTTGGCTTTTCAATCTTGTATCTCATGATCCATTCATAAAATATTGCGCCCTTCTTGGTCAGGAAGCTGAACTATATTAGAGGATGACAGGTCCAGTTGAAGGGTATGGTTTCTTTGCACTGGTGTGTGGGAATCAATTTTTGGTTCGGGGATCCCTCTGGGCCCCACCCCTTTGCTTGGGTTCAGTGTTGAGGACCAGCTGGGTAACAGGAAGCCAGTGCTGGCTTCCCATCCTTGGCCCTATGTGGGTCACCGTGGGCCACTGGCTTGCACAGGTTGGAGGCCTCCTTGCTAGGGAAGGTCAGGGGGTACACTAAGTAACGCCCTCAGGGCCATGTCTGGGGCCTTCTGAGTATTTCATTTTATTCTTAGCACTCATCCATGGGAACACAACTGCAGACTCAGGAGAGGATGCTTGCCTTTGGCATTTTAAATGCTTATTTGCCCACAACTGGCTTGAGGAATAAGGTAGGAGTTCACACAGCTGGTGAGAGCCACGTCAAATGAGAAGCTCCCTTCTCAGGTTCAGGGGCCTAAAACTCAACTTTGGAAAACCCGGGATAACCTGAAGTTAGTTTGTCTACCTGAAAAATGAAACTGATTGGAGTTTCCAGACACATAGTTTGAGATGCATAAATGTTTTTGGTTATCACTAAGTTTAATTTAAGAAAAGCCACAGGCACAAAGAGAAGTAGAACATATATAGCATATATATAGCATAGTATAGAAATGGAGTCAGAAAGAGAGAAGCTAGATTTCTTAGATGGTGGAGTACTTTTTTTTTTTTTTGAGACAGGGTCTGGCTGTGTAGTCCAGGTTGGCCTTGAACTTTCTTAGTAGCCTAGGCTGGCCTTGAACTCAAGGTAATCATCCTGTCTCTGCCTCCCAAGTGCTGTGATTATAGGTATGCACCACCAGGCCCAGGCTCAGACAGTGGAGTCTGTCATTCATCTCTCTGCTTATTGCCTTGGTTGTCAGGAGGCTCATACTAAATGCAATACCATATGAACACTGCTGCTTCCTGGATTTCTGGCAGAATCACAGGTCCACTTACCCGATACTGTTACTAATCGATCTTTTTGCTTGATCATTTAACCATGTTATTGTGCTTGGGCTTACCAGCTTATCTACCCATTGCTTATCTTTTGTTCAAAGATACAATTTTGGAATTAATATAAAATGTCCAAAAAGTTAAGTGTTATAATCTTACTCCTGTCCTCCATGTTTTAAACAAGATCTCGAATGGTGAATTCCCCTTTCAAATTCCTACTTCATGTCTCAGGTTTTATGTGGTAGTTGACTCCTCAGCTTCGCCCTCTTTTCCCCCACAAACCCATGGACTCTGGATCACACTGGACAAGAAAATTTGTCATTCTCGGCCCATGTCACCCCATGACCCGGGCCACCACAGCACATGTGCTGGGGACATCGGGAGGGTCATAGGAAAGTGAGTTATGCTTGATTTCCTTACATTAAAAATAAAGCTAGGAGTGGCTGGGGATTTAGCTCAGCAGCATAAGCGCCTGTCTGGCAAGTGTGAGGTTGTGAGTTTGATCCCAGTATAAAAACAAACAAACAAAAAAACACTAGGTGGTTGGTACCATCTTATTGCTTGGTGATTATTTCCCTAAACATTTTTTTTATTGTGCATTCTTCACATCTGCCTCAACTGAGGCTTTGCACACTTGGCATAGGCACGCGGCTGAGACAAAAGGGTGCCTTTCAGCTGAATACTCAAGGTGACGCCTCTGCTGTCACCAGGCTGCTGCCAAGGCTGGGGCTTGGCACCAGGTGAAGATCCCTGACCTTCTGGGATATCTTAAATCACCCCAATGTCAGTGCCACACCTGTATGGCTAGAGGCACATAGGACATGGGGTTGGTGGCTGTCACAGGAATTCTGTCACCAGTAAATCATTTAAAACTAGCACAGAGCAAAGCTGGGTGTGATCTACATCCTCCATGTTTGAAGCAGCAAATTAGAAGATGTTAAAATATAGATGTTTTATCTCCCACAAGGAGGAACAGGTTATTTTTTTTTAGGCTTAAGAAATTAAAAGGCCATGCTTTAGTTAAAAATTACTGATAATGTATAGATATCAAACAAAGGTAACCCAGAGAACGCTTGGTTACCTTCACAGAAAGTTCTCCCAAGAGAAGCCTGGGTCACTGATGTTGTTTTTGAATGACATCACATTTGAATGGTGTCGCTTCTGAAATGATGTCACTTCTGAAAATGACGGCACTTCTGAATGACATCACTTTCGGATTGCTCTTGGTTTTAGGCAGTAAAGTCCACAGCTCTCATGGGTACCCTGAGGACGCCGGAGGCCACAAGTGTAATGTACTGTGTCCCCAGGCCTTGGACAATTAAAGGCACATGGGAAACCAGGATGTGGATGTCTAGACTCTGTGATGGTTGATCACCAACTATAGTATATGACACCATCTCTGCTAATGAACTATTTGTATTAAATAAAAGGAATTCTAATAATTCAGATAATATTAGTCATGTTTAAAATGATGGCATTATTTAAAGTTAAATAAAAATGTCACTGAAGCTTTTTCTGAACTGAATGAGTCCTCCCTGACATCTCACCCGATGGTGAGGCTCATGGGTTTCTGTGGTCCTGAGTCAGCACCAAAACTAAGAAGGTGGGTGGGGACCAGCTATTTGCAGCTTAGTTCCAGCACTAATTTTGTTTGGTTTCGTTTTTTATTTTTTATTTTGAGATAAAATCTTGTTAAGTTTTCCAGGCAGAGCTTGAACTTGCCATCCTCCTGCCTCAGCCTCCTGCTGTGATCCCTATGGGATGTGAACCACCATGCTTGGCTCTAGATCATATCTGTCAGCAGAGAAGGAGACATCATGGACAGACACATCCATGCACCATGCAGAGGTGCAGCGATCCACACCTGGACCCCGCGCCCCATGCAGCTTGGTGAAGAATACAAATGTTTGATAAGGACGTGATCAGCAGAGGCAAATGCTTATCACTTGGATTTGATCAGTGCCTACCATGCCTGCAGTAACGCACCCCATTAATATGTACAACAAATGCATGTTAGTAAAATCAAAATAACCTGAATGTTTGAAAAAATGCTTTGGAAACTTCATATTTTTTTTTTCTTTTTGCAAAATCATGACTGTGAGATCATACCTAGCTCGAACCCAGTTACAACCTTTTAGCTAAAGTTAATAATTTCTTTTCAGAACAGTATGATAAAGTTTAACTATTGACTATTCAAGACATGATGGGGGAACAGAATATCTCACTCAGGATGTGCTAACTTGTTTTCTGTTGAGAACATAATGCAAGCTTTAAAACTCCTACATCAAGAACTTACATATCTACTTCCCAAGGCGATCACATCCTTGAACGTGATTCAGTAACTTACTATTTTATACAATAAAATAATAACATTTTAGATTATACAGAATGATTTAAATCACAAAATTCCCTGGATAAAATGTCCCGAAGCTCCTCTGATACATGACAGAGAAAGTCAGACAACCATTTCTGGATAGATGCTCATTAAAAAATTCCCTATCTCCTTCCACACCAGCATGGGGATTTGGGGAGTAATTTGTAATTTTTTTCTTTGATTCTTACTAAAGGACAATCAAAATAATTGCTCTATTTTGCCCACAAATTAATGTTCCAGGGGAAAGGCAACAGAGTGTATTACAGTGAGGAGCTGTCACTCTGGGCCACTGTGGAAGACCCCACCACAGAGCCCAGGGTGATGGAGGGCTGGCTGCTGAGGGTTTGTTAGGACAAAATGACCTAAGCTGGGGAAAATGAGCTTAGAATGTGCTGAGTCTATATGGCCATCTTGCCATCATGGCAAAGATCTTGCCATGAATGGGTAGTTAGGTTCACGTCACAGGGAAGGGGACACTTCCCAGTGGCAAATGTGAAGCCAGGCCTGAGTGACAGCTGGCTAGGCCCTGGGGGTGGGCAGACCTGCTGTGGTGCCCTTTCACGTGTCACAACGGTCACTAGTCACCTTACCTTCTAAACATCTTTCACACCTGCCACTGCTGGCACCTGAAACCCCAGTGTTGCTCAGAATGACAGTCATTTGCCCCCAAAGCCCCACCGGCATAATCTGTCCTACGATCTCCGGCATGTGACCTCTTCCCACCACTTCCTGGTGACATTTTCAGGCCACATTTCCCAGAGCTCTTTTTTTTTTTTTTTCTTTTCTTTTGTGGTACCAGGAATTGAAAACAGGGCCTATACTCTGCACTACATCCTCAGCTTTTTCATGCATTGGTTTATTTTGAGACAAGGTCTTGCTAAGTTGTTTGGGCGGGGATGCAACTTGCAGTCCTTCTGCCTCAGCCTCCCGGAGTGAGCCAGGTGTTTCTACAGGCAGGTCCCTGAGTCACAGTTCAGTTCAGCCTCCCCAGATCCCCAAATGACAAAGCAAGGGAGGAGGAGCAGACATCCCCACAAAACGGCGGGTGGCCCTGGCCCAGACACAGATGGGGGATGTGAGTTCAAGGCTCGTATTCACTGGAGCCAGGTGGTGATTACTGTTACCTCTACCTGGGAGGCACTGGGAAGTGGCCCATGGTTTGAGAATTTGTAAGAGAGCACAAAGACAGTTCCTTGGAGGGACTCAGAGAAGTGAATCAGGACAAAGAAAGTGTCCCACATTTGGTTTCCTGAGCACACCTACCCCACACGCCCACCGTCTGGGGTGGCTCTTACACAAGTCACCTAGGATAGAACACCGAGAAAAATGCAGGCGTTACCTTCTGTGTCTTGCATATTTGCCGCTAACATGACCACTGCCATCACAGCCAGGAGTGGGGCAGCTGAAACAGGAGAGAGTCAGTTACACGGGTGCCACGCGCTGTGGGCAGGGACCCTAAAACTTCTGTGGTGTTGCCGAGGAGGAAGGGGCAGCCCAGACCGCAAGAGAGATACAAAATCCTGCGTAGGGTGGGGGTGCTTTTTCCTAGCAGGTCTGGGGGATCGGTCTCTTCAGTGCAGCAACACATGAGCAGGCTGCCCAGGGACCTGGGAGCCCGGCACACTCACTACGAGGCACGGATTTCTGAATCAGCAGGCGGGGGGCACAGGCTTTACCCACTGGGCACTGACCTGAACAGTTCCTGCACTGATGGCTCCACGGGCACTGCAGAGAGACGGGAGATAGGTCAGGATTTGTCATTTGTCACCACTGCCCCTCTTCACAGACCGTCACCAAGAGGGTGGAGCTAGGAGGGCATCAACAGTGAACCCCAGATCGGTTCTGCAGGACCGAGGTGGCCGGAGCTAGCCTTGGGCGCTGACGCAGGGACGTACCTCGAACCCCTTTGGACCGCGTGCGATGGCGCTTCTCCTCGGCATCCACGTCCATCTGGGGATAGACAGCAGGTGGTCAGTGTCCGGGCCGTGGCCCAGAGCAGTGGAGGGTCCAGGCAACCTAATGCATTACTTAAAAATAATTAGGAGACCTGCATGCCACAGGGAATGTTCAATCAGGAGGCCTCTGCACTCTACAGTTGGGTAGGTTTTGATGAATCTGGGAGAACAATCTATTTACTCTCTTGTCAAGGATTTGATTAGGACCCATGTAGGCAATCTAAGTTGTCCTTCATACCAAGAATACAATAGATAGCCATTAAGTTCCTAAGCAAGCCAAAAAAAAAAAAAATTGTCTAGGTTCTCCTCGTACCTGAAAAGTTTCATATGATTAAGTAGTTAGGGGTAGAGCACAAGACTTTTTTATTTTGCCAGCCAGGAGCTTTCTGTCCATGTCATCTCATTCCCAGAATGCAACTGTCTGCATTTCTCTATAAACAGTGCCCCAGACCTCTCAAAGCCTTGTTCTGTGCTTCCTTGTGGAAGCTTCCTGATGAATCTGAAGGGGAAATGTTTTTATCACATCTATTGTATATGTGAAAATATTAAAATCCAGGATTTGCTTAAGATTTCCCAAATCTTTGCTATAGGGACCCCAAATCACACCTGTTGGTCAATGTCCTCTTTAATTACCAGAACATATGGGCACCTGTGACTCTATATGGGCATATTTGTCCATCAAATATCTCCACACGTATGACTGTCTTAGATGTGGACACACACATGCACACATGTGCACACACATGTACCCACAGTGTGACTGAGATGTCTGGTGACTGTAGATTTTAAAAGATGTGTTTTACAGTATTGGATTCTCCCTTAGAATCTTCCTCCTTTGCTTCCAACATACTTATCCCGCTGTTTTTGCCAATTCCTGTGGCAGCTCTGGAGTCCTCTTTTCCTCAGTGATTTTTTTTTAGCTGCACTGTCCTGGCTGTCCTGATGTCCTGAGGGATCCCAAACATTTCCCTTTCATGGTTATTTTGACTCTGGGGAAGAGCTGGAAGTCACAGGGTGCCAGATCTGGTGACTGAGGTGGGTGAGGACATAGTGCAGTGGTTTTACAAGCCTGCCTTTCTGTTGGATGGCACATGGCAGTTGAGTTCACCGTATTTGTGATCAAATCTGGCAAAGAGCCTCAGGAAAGAGGTCTCCAGAGGTGCTGCAGACAGTGGCAAGAACAATGGGATGAATGTGCTCTAATCTAGGGGGAGGGCTTTGAGGGGAGTTCACAGCAGTATGTTTTACTGTAACAGATTTTTAAAATTGGAACATTCACTGTTTTGATCACAGTTGGTATACAGTCACTCTCTCTATATTGAATTCTACTCAGTGTAACAGGGGGCTGACAGACAGCCCCTCCTGACTCCATCACATGGGCAGAACTTTCCAGCCCTGCCTGTGACTCCTTGGTCTTGTCCAACCTGTGCCCTAGACAGAGGAGGAAGCACTGGACAATGTAATCTGTGCCCATCCCACCACAAAGGCAGCAAAGCCACTTCCTGTATGGTTTATGAGCAGCAGAAAGGTCAGAATGTAGAGGCCTCTGTTTAAGGCATGCAACCTGGCTGACATGTACTTCAGAGTGTGGGGAGGATATGCTGGTTTCTTTTTCCTTTTTGGTTGGTTGGTTGGTTGTATTTTGAGACAGGGTCTTACTGTGTAGTTCAAGCTGACTTTGAACTCACTGTGAACTCACAGTTCAAGCTGGCCTTGAACTCAGTAACTCTCCTGCCTCAGCCTCCCCAGTGGTGTATTACAGGTGTGCACCACCATGCCCAGCTGGACGCACAGTTTCTGTGAACTGTGAGAATCAGTGCTTTCTCTGCACAGGTGTGACATTAGGGTTTCATGAAGCTGTATCAGCAGCACTAGGTTCATTGCTTATGTCACTCCACCCTCGAACATTTATTTATGAACACTGTGTGCTGAGTGTGCTATTGGGATAAAAAGTGTGTACAGGAAGAGCACCAGGTCCTGGGGTGGGCTTAGTGTCTATTAAAGGGAGACACGAATTGCAGAGTAAACCTAATAATAAACTGGCTTTAGCATCAAAAGAAAGGGAGGAAACCGGGGTAAGTGGATCCTCGGCAAGGAAAGGTCCCAGGACTGGGGAAGCCCATGCTCAGGCATGGGAGGAAGACAGAGAGACTGCAGCAGTGACATGAATGAAGTGCTTGGAGCACTATCAGGAGAAGATGAACAAGTGAATGGATCCACTGGCCAGGGAAGCAGTGAGCTGAGAAGGTCGCAGAAGCCAGGCAGACAAGGGAAAGGAGGTGAGACGGAGCAGGAAGCAGGGCTGGCGGGTCCAGTGGGTCCAGCGGCTCAAGCTATACTTGCTTCCAGGGAGGTCACAGAATTTTGGAAAAAGATGAGCACAGTTGTAGTTTGAGGAGTGCGCAGAAGAGCAGGCTAAGAGGTTCGAGTGCTTGTCCTCATTAAAGGGTGGATGGGGCCGCTACCTCCATTGATTGGTGGTCCTGTTCCAGGCTGTCTCATTCCTGGGATGGGATTGTCCAGGGAAGTAAGATACAGGATGGAGGAGACGAGTCCTGGAGGCTTTTTGTTGGGAAATTCGTGTGGCACAGGGCTTTGTGAGCCTCTTCAGGTGTTCTGCCTTGTTGTGCTATCTGGCAGGAGCGCCAGGGCGGAAGTCATCCGTGGGGGACCATCACTCAAATTTGAAGCATCCCTGAGTGACACTCAAGGCTCTGTAATTGCTGTTTAGCACACAGAATTTTCCCAAACACTGCAAAATTTTAGCAAAGTGGCACAGGACTCTCCTGGCTCAAGGCAAACACAAACAAAGAGGCAAGAAGCCGGTGGTGACGTAAGGAACACTTAGTTTACATCCTGCAGAACTCGAGTGCTTCTTGTGGTTCATTACAATTGTCTCAGGACCAGAGATGCAGAGATAATGGGGTAAAATCCTATGATCTCAGGGATGCAGAGCTGAAATAAAAACTGTGTGAGTGGAGAGGTGAGAAGCATTCTCCAGGTGGCACCAAGGAGGCTGGGAGGCAGTGACCCAGTAGAGGAGCGGAAATCGGAAATCAGAGGTGGGTTTTAAAGGTTAATTGGATGTTTCAGGTTTCATCTGCATGGGGGGGAGGAGGGCGGGGAAGGGAAGGTCCTGGGTGGGGGAGCAGGAGGCACAAAGACTCTCAGGCTCAAAGGCTTTTTCCGTGTATTCCAGGGAGCCGGGCTTGTGACTAGGGGTTGGGCTGGTGTGTTGTGTTCTTCAACAGGGAATGTGCTTATCGGTTTTCAGGAACTAACAGGGCTCAGTGTATCTGGGGATCACCTTGTTTATTGCATTCCCCCAGCATTTGATGAATAAACCTGCCTTATGATTCCTCTGGTGACAGTGTGGGAGGGAAGAGAACCCAGAGGGCAGTAAACCCAGCTTTTCTCCGTGGGCATACGATTGCTAGGCTTCATTCCCTAACTGCTCTATGGTTGTTGGGTAAGAATTGTTTCTCTTCTGCATGTTAATTCTTCATCCTTTGAGCCTGGGTCCTTTGCAGACAGGGGTAGATGTCAGTTTCTCCTGGAGTTGGGTAGCTATTCCTCCACTCCCCACTCAGGTAGTCTCGTGTTATTCCCACAGAGTCCCCATCGCCCTGTGCTCACCTTTGCCACAGCTCTCACCTCCTGAGTCTGCTCCTTTATGCAGGGCTGTCACTGTTTGGTCACAGTGGCTGTCAAATATGTTTTACTTTCCACTGAATGAGACTTCTGTGGTGTGAAGATAATTTATCAAATATGTTCAGCCCAGCTCACAACATGTGATGGACACTAAAACACGATGATTCTTTTTCCTCTCTCCACCAATGTAGGAAGCCGTGTTTCCAAAGTGTTTTCCATTTCATTTTAGGTAGACATTGAATAAATGCAAACGGCCAGGTTCAGATGCAGCAGAAAGCATCAAATCTGCAGCCCAGAATGCAAGAGGGTTTCCACTGGTCCACACCTTCGGGGTGTGGCAGCAGGTCAGGGACCCCCCAGGATCAGACACAGGCAGTGTGTCTTCCGGGATCCAGACCTTACTCCCGCCTGCTGCCTCCAAGCCAGGCCTCTTTCATCAGCAACCTCCGGTAGCCCCAGCTTGGGTTGCTTCTTCCTGTGGCTTTGAACCTGAATTGTAGGCGCTGCATTTAGCTAGGCCAGGAGACGGTTATCACAGTCAGTTCTGATCTCTATAAGATTGGAGAGTCTTTACCACGGACATCATCGCCTGGATTTCTGATGACCTTTCCACAATTTATATGTAGAAAATCATCCTTAAATGCATTAATTTTTTTATTCACAAACCCAGTGCTTATTATTTTATTTACTTTTGTTTTACTGGGAATTGAACCCCAGGTCCTCACGCTGAGCTACCCATCCTCAGTTCTCTTTTTCAAACTTTTTATTTTAAGAAAAGGTCTTGCATCACTGCCTAGGCTGGTCTCCAACTTGAGATTCTCTTGCTCTAGCCTCCTGGAGTGCTAGAATTACAGGCATATACTACCTTGCAGGGTCTAGGGTTATTTTAAAAATAAGGATAGATTTTTCTGAGGATGTTTAAATGGTATTGTACTAGAAATTCATAAGACATTTATTTTGTGCCAACAAAAGCTACCAGGACTGACTCATTGAAGAGACAGCAAGTGAATAACCTTAAAATGTGCAAACTTTACATAGGGAACCAGGATTTATTTTATGACTTTGATCTCTCTTCGCCTTTTCTCTCCATAAACTGCATACTCTCAAGTTGACCCTCAGCAAAGAGAATATTTTAAATGCATTAAAATCACATACATGTTGTGCAAGCCTTGGTGCCTGAGAGGCTTGTTTTTGATGTTGAGGGATAAGGGGATCACAGCCAGGCACCCAGCACAAGCTGCACTTGGGTCCCAGGACAGTGACAGTGGTGGCGTCCTGCCAGAGTCTGCACACTGGGGACTTGGTCCTTCTGGGGGATTGGGAAGGGACATCAGGCTGCAGGTT